TCGACTTGAGGACAGAATGGTCTCCCCAAGACTTTATATCCTCGCGATACGGGTTACAGCAACTGCTAACTGTTTTGGATTGACAGATGCGGTCAACATCGTTCCCGAGGAACGTTCACAGCCTACAGGGTGGGCGGTAGAAGTTCAACAGCTATGAACATTATTCTGATGATCTCACCTCAATGCTGTTCCACAGTATATACGTCGAAGGCGGTGAGCCAGATCTCACGGGAATATTTCATCTCTATTTTCTTTTCGTAAGTCTAGGCAGGATGTCAAACATCGAAAGCAGTGAATTTTTGAAAACGGGGTCTGTCTACTATTTCCCGCCGGGAACCTGGCCACCTAAGGCATTTGGGCGTAATTTCGATGTGCTCTGGGAAATTCTGGCAGGTCCGTGTGACCTAGGCGATAGGCGCGGATCCTGCGAAGAGATTGAGCATATTTGCGATAGTTTTAGTGCCGCTTTGCGTGCTCCATGAATTTAGTTTTCAAGGATTCCCCAAAAAGGCAATTGACAGGGAACCTGGCCACCCTCGAAAGCTCAGGGTTCGCGACGAATGAGGGCCCGGACCGTTGTCTGCAGTGTACATGGGATCCATATGGTGCATCTTCGGCACTTATAGTATACATTTGACCATCCACAAGTGGGGTAGCGGAGAGAAAATAACCAGGCCTTGGCCGCGGGATGCGTACTTTCACCTAAATCAGGTTGGTACGCGAGTTGTAACAAATTGTGGGTCAAAAGAACTCATACTTAGGTCTATTGGAACCCAATGGACCAACCTGGACACATATATCCACATCAGAGGTATCATGTCGAGAACCCGACGTTTGATCTTTTGTTCGGGGTCAAATGCGTGATTTTCTTTCGGTGCTCGTATCGGGAGGGATAGAGGGGCGTTCAGGTCGCGCGCTATTGAGGATATGAAAGATTGGGACATAATTATGTATACTACAGGTCCTTGGAATTTTCCTCTGCAAGGGTGCTTTGCTATCTCGAATCTCAGTTGGCAAATATTGAATTCCTCCCGGCGTGTGGTTGAATTTGGGGATGTAAGTCCAGGTATTCACCAGGTCCCGCATGCTTGAAGGGAAGCCTCACGTCATGCCAAAATAACAAGCCCCCAAAGTCCCGAATCCATTGCGTATTGGTCGAGAAACGGGCGAGACGGTTGCTCGGCGTTATCAAATTGACGTTCTCACCCTCCGGATCGCAATCAATCCGGGCACAGCTTTGGATCAACTTATCACTTTGGGTTGAAATTTGTTCTCAAGGTGCACAATAGTTCATATTCCACTGTGGAAATACAAAAGGAAGATATTACCCACTCTCAAGTCCTACAGTTGGCCTATGGCCAGGTTCCTAGTGTGGCCAGGTTCCCAGCGCGATATAGTACTTTAGAATTCGAACGTCGCGTTTTTAAATTCACATGTCATCTGGAATCTCTCTAGAGTGGATATTAGCCCTGCATTCGATTACGATGGCACTGAAGATGCTGCATTCGACTGAGATGTGGCTGAAGAAATGATGTTAGTGTTCGCAATTATTACAATTGAACTGACTCACTCGGGGCTGTGGCACTGATGGCACGTCTGCGGTTTAGGGCAGTCTCGGGAAATGTGACCCTGCCGCAAAAACGTGTAAGCGGTCTGGTTTTGAAATGGTGAAAAAAGCACCTGTCGTGAGCAGTTATAGCATTTCTTCTGCGGACAGTTGCGGTTCATGTGTCCTAAACGGCCGCACGAGTGGCATGCCCTCTTTTTCACGCCACTGCTTGGGTTGCCGTTTGTAGGCAATGTACTATTCGCACTGGAGAGAAGAGTGGGTGAGCCAGCCAGCCACTGGCATGCATAATCAGAGGAAGCACCTTGGTGTCAACCCACTTGCAATGTGTCCCGGTTCCTCCTTTGTCCGGGGGACGGTCTTTTGCGAGCGATCTTGGTTGATGTCTTGCATGAGCGTGCAGAAAGATCCAAGCTGGAGCGATTAGAGAGGGTACAAGAGCGTGGCGGGGCGCGGAGGCGCCCCACGACTTCGGTTCCAAGATCAAAAGAAGCATGAGAGCTGTAAAAGCTGTTAAGGTCTGAAAAATAAAGCTGTTAAGCCGTGCTGAGGTGGAATCAGTCCCCAGGGCCCAGGCAGGCTCGGCATAGTGAAGCCAGATTTTCCTGGCTGTGTGATCAGAGATGCCGCGGTGAAATGCTAGCGCTGGTGCCATCAGTGGACCTCAATTGAAGGCTTCAGACAGACAGGCGTAATCTTAAAGAGAGTAATTAACCTTGAAGAAGACAAGATGGAGCGCATAGACTCCGACAATACACGTTTCTGAAATCCGAATTCGCGGATGCACAGGCGAACCTGCGCAAATACAAGGTGCGATAGATTGCGATTGAGAAACAAGCCAAGAAACCGGGGCCGCCGAGTTGATGCCAGGCGGTCCTGCGATGCTGCGTCGAAGATGGGCGATGCACGATAGCTTTGAGATCCGTTTAGCCGCAGACCCGCCGATTCTGGGGTCCATTAGAGCATGTAGGAAAGACCGAGAAGTCTATATTTGTTCTGAGGAGGATTTTCCCAATTGAGAATCGAGATGTTAACCGCGGCGGACCCTTGAGACCACGTGCACTCTAAAGAAATTGGACGCTGGGAGAAGAGCAGTGTCCGCTCCTAGGATGCTCGATGGCATGCGCTCTGGGAATGGGATTCAGAAGCGGGAAACGGAGTCACGGTCCGCTCCAGTTCTTTCTACGTAAACCAATCTATCATGCGATACGCACGCCCAAACTCCGACGAACCGTCGCAGTTAAGACTGCTTCGATCCATATCGACTGAGACATGTTCGCCCACACCTGTACATGCGTTGCTTGTTCCGTAACCGCGTGAAAGTCGTCCATGAACAGGGTAGATTGGTCGGTATTCTCCCTTGCCGCAGGGATATCACGCGAAATCAGAACCGCCAACGACTGAAATACATTATTATGTTTCTTCTGGTGGTGGTACAGGAATAGCGACGCTCATCAAGTCGCGAGCGCATAATACCTCGTTGCCGTATTCTCCGGCCGCCAATCCCGCAATGGTGTCCATGAGTACCTTCGCCTCCGCGTCAACGTCGTCATTCCCCGCGTATCTAGCCGAAAAGTGGTTCAGGATGAGTCGCTTTGCTCGAATGCGCTTTGCGAAACGGCCGGCCATCTGTGGTGTCGAGTGGCCTCTAGACTTCGTGCGCGCCTCCACGCTCTCATAGGTGTCGTCAGGTTTCGTGCCCTCGTCGATTCCAGGTAAGTGCGCGTTGGTCGCCTCGTGAATCAGCAGGTCTACGTCGAGCGCCAGCTGTTCTATCCCTGAAGGGTTGTGTGTATCGCCCAAAATGGCTATCTTTCGTCCTCGCCGCCGTTGAGGCCCGTGGAGAATAGTTCCATCGCTGAGCTCGACGCTTCCGCCCTGCTGTAGCTGCGACATGACTTTTATGGGAGTATTTGTGCGTTTGAGATGAGGGATGTATTTCGCGGGATCCATCTTTCCGGGAAGAGGCGCTTCTGTGACCACGTAGCCGAGGCAAGGGACCGAGTGAAGGATGGGCCCAGCAGAGACGGAGACCGCGTCGTCTTGGAAGATGTTCTCCCAGATCCCGCCGACCTGCATGATATTCTTGCCAAAGGGTGCTTCGGCGCGGTTGCGAGGAAGCTGAGTGTAGTCGCCCGTTGGCGGGTCGCGAGGCAGGCGGAGCTCGTGGACCACGTATGCGTTACTGAAAAGGGTGTGCGTGTACTTGAGGCAAGAGCGGACGTATGCGCGCGTCCCAAGGGGTCCGTAGATTTCGATGACCTGAAACTGGGTGAATTATTGCGCGGGCTATTGCGTTCCATTCGTACTGGGTTATATGGGTCGACGGCCTTTCTCGGTTCTTCAGCGCCGTCCGCAGTTCCACCAGCGCCATTGAGAATGCCTGCGAGCAGGGGAACAACCCCGAAGATGTGATCGCCTGAAGAAATAAGGAGATGCATGCCATTAACTTTGGCAGACATACCGTGCGTGTGCGTAATAAATATTTTCTCTATCCTTCCCATTTTTAATGTGCTCTGCTGTAGCCGCGACTGTGTGGCCTCTGGGGACCGTTGGTCTCAAAAAGAACCTAGACTCAAATTGGCGTACCTCCACAATCAAACAACCAGATATCCGCCCCAAGGCGTAGGGCAAGGGAGGAATGGATACGCGTCGACGATGGCTGGGCAGAAGCTGTTCCCAGAAATGTTACGTGGACATCGAATGGTCCCCTTGGAGGCTTAGATTGAGTGGCCATATTAATGGTTTTTTGGAAAGGGACTTTGGGCACAGAGTTTCGAAAACCAGCGGATGCGGCAGCTTTTAAGCCGGCTCTGGCTGCCATTAGCTCAAGCCCCTACAATTAATTTGGAGTCGACATGACTCGAACTGACCAAGAGAGGAACTGAGTCGGAAAGGAAAGTGATGGGATCATTGATAGCTGATTGGAAGCCATACAGCCACATCAAAACGCGCTGATACCTCCAACCTTCCACCCTCATCCAACGAAGGCTCTAGGACATGATAAATCTGTTGATAGTGATTCAGTATATGTGTAGAATAGCGTGTAAGGGCCAAGGATAATTATTATACCTATAGCTCCTCTGAATCCTCCTCCATCAGCCCTCAAAGGTCCTCGAAAATTGCTGCGACCCGCTAGGGAGTAGGGACCCCCTGAGGATGCAAAAATTACTAGGCTCGCCTCATTCGACGCATACCACCTCGTTACAACCTCGGGCACAGCCAAATTATCGGCTTTGTACTGGTATTATTGGCTGTTGTTAAACTTGAAGATATTCCGCACGCCGCGCGCGCGATAGGAATCCAGCTGGTCCACGATTTAATGGGCTGATCAGCGTGGATATGAAGCTTGCGGGGACGAAGTGGCCTGCGCCCTGTGTAAACTGTTTCGAAACCACCTCCTTGTATTCATTGTTTCGACCCATATTGCAACGTCTAGGTAGTATAGTGGTTAGTATGCTCGCTTGTGGCATCATCAGGTCTTCCTGGTGTAATACAGTCCGCGATTGACGTCAGTTCGATTCTGGCCCTGGACATTCTTTTTAATAGCTTTTGAATTGAAATATTCTTGGCAAAGTTGATTATTATGCAGTCGAATTGATGGAAACGTTGTAAAGTGCAAAAATTGACCGAAAATCAACTCCGTTCAGCAGTAGAACTTGGGGTCGGGAAGGAATATGTTTCTGATACATAACTGGCTCCATCCAGGGACCCTCCGAGACCAGACGCGCATTTCTTTTTAGTTTTGTAATTTCCGCGATTGATCCGTCCCACCGGCACGAATGTTCCGCCGTGCCGAACCGGCAGTGACTGATGCGACCATGACTCCTCTGTTCGTCAGCCAATCCATGCGTGTTGCAGCCGTGTCCTGACACTACTGGCGCCCGGCCGCCACCGTGAATTCGACGCGGGACAATACAGAAGGATTCCCAGGATTTCGAAGTCACGGTCTATCCTTTGCCGCCCTCAATGCAATCACCGCAGATCAGACTGCTGGCTGAGAGGAGAAGTTCCAGTGAGGCTTGATCTCAGATTAATCTCCCTTTTAACGAAGAGGAACGTCTTAGAACAACGGGTAACGAACAAGAAAATCGAGATAGCCTCCCGGACTCACTGCAACCGTCTGCTACTCCCTTCCTCACATTATTAGGTCGTGGTAAGCATTACGAGTAGTCCTCCATGTCTACCTTCTAAGGACAGGAAAATCTCACACCCAAAAATGAAAATCATGGTAGCGAGATAGCCTCCCGGGCTCACTGCAGCCGTCTGATTCTTCTTCCCTCGTATATCAGGTCGGGGTGAGCGCGTCTACTGGTTCTCCATGTCATCTTTCATTTCCAACAGCGATTTGGGTAATGCCCCCTCTCCTACCTCCTTCCTTGCGCTGGACACTCTCTAGGTGCTCTTGAAATCGGGACTCTCCTGTCATACTGGCTCTTTGGGGCAACAACGACCCAGACATACAGCTACTATGGACGATTTCCCAACGATTCTCGCAAACTGAAGTCTTTGGTACGTAAATCTGCCTAGCCGGCCAGCGGTGATACCGACGTGAATTCAGGCCTGCCCTCGTTTGGTTGGTCTTTTGTTTGTCATTACATTTCAGTGAACCGAATTCTTCAGGTTCCTCGAACTCGAACATGCAATCTGCACCGGAATGACGGTGTATCGGTATCTCATCTCCGATTACACCCAGCCGGAGCTCCTCGTTTTTGTGCCCGACGAACTGCTGGCGGCCATATTGATTTTTACTGTGATCGCAGTCTGTGGTACGTCCGTTGAGCCCCTCGCAGATCCCTCTCTTACGCCACACAGTCCAGGGTTTCTTCTCTTTTCGGATATACTATCTTTCGCGCAGCCTTTATATTCCTCTTTTCACCTGTTCTCTGACTTTGACGCGGGTTGTCGTCTCTCTCTATCTGGTCATTCACCTGGCGCTGGGACAGGCCACGGTCGCGGACTTTCAACCATTAGCCCCTGTATTATACGCTAATTGGGCTGCGTCGACCGCAAATGATTTGACAACTGCAGCGACATTGGCGTATTGGCTTCATCGGCAACGAGGCAAGGCACAAACCAGGTCAGCTGTTGTAGAAATATTACCCTCTGGTCGATTTCTTATCTCATCTGCGATGCAGTACTGCTGTGCTCGTCAAGAAAATCATTCAATGGACCTTGGGTTCGTCGAGAACAGTTTCCGGAAGCAAATACAATCTAAATCTTTGAATTCAGAAACCGGGGTCGTCTTGAGGTGGGCCGATCCCGCTTCCCACTTCCCTCATGTGACGTACAAATATTCAGCACTACGACGACCCTAACCTTGATCTTGGTGCGTTTTTTTCAAGCACATAAGCCTCCGGAGAATGACCTCTTCCTCCCCATGTAGTTCCCAAGTATGCCGGGCAATTGTACGAACTACGCTCATTCAATGTCTTACCTAATCTTCCTCAGATATCTGGATTGCCATGTTTATTGTTCAAGCAAGACGTGAGTGCATCTTTCTAGCGCTTAGGTCCGATCCTTACGACTTGCTTTCAATTTTGAAGTGTACTCGAATTCTTTTCTCGCCAGGTGGGCGAATAGACCAAAAAACCTCGCAATAACTTGATTTTGCTTGTAGCCTCAACTCCCGGACTGCTCTGCGTGCCATGGACCCAGTTACACTTCCGCTGTCTGTAGTAAGTACTCGTCCAATGGTAATTATCGTTTACTGAGGCGACGGACTGCAGCTTAACGTGTCGGAGGGTTCAAGTTCGGAGATGTCCAAGGCTTCACACCTCACGGATTAATACTGTTCCGAGGAGTCGATGGAGTGTTCGTTTCTCGTCAAACTGAACAAACCCATCGACCATATCTTCTATCTGCAATGTTCGGTTTGATTTTTGATTTTCCATCGGGATGTTTAGGCGGTCGTTTACGATGCAGTCTCTGGTTACAACATTATTTGCACCTCGCGTGTTGTATTCCATGGGTGGGCCTGGAACTTGAGCTGATCATCAACTTCCTTTGGCAGCTTGGGCGTAAATAATCCCGCCACTATCACGACGACTTCAACTCTGATTTGTCCACAAACTTCACGGTCCAAGCTCCCTTCTTTCCATGCACTGCCTGCAACCCGTGCTGTATCAGCCTTGAAAAGAACTCTATGATTGCTTTCCTCCCAGGCTCCGGCTGTGGGAACTGGCGCCGACTTCCCACCGACCGACACCTTCAAATTAACGCGTAAAAAGACAAAAGGGCAGTCCCGACTACTGCTCAAAGTCACGGCCTGTTGTTTTCCTCGCACTATTCGTTGTCACTGCAAAGTGCCGGCCGACCGATTTACAGCGTGGATTTTCATCTACCTTCTGACGGGAACAAGACTCAAAAAACAAAATCATGCTAGTGAGATAGCCTCCCGGGTTCACTGCAACCGTCTGATACTTGCTTCCTCATATTATTAGGTTGTGGTAAGCATGAGGGTAGTCCTCCATGTCTACCTTCTAACGGACAGGAAAGTCCCAGACCCAAGAATGATAGTAAGATAGCCTCCCGGGCTCACTGCAGCCGTCTGATTCTTCTTTCCTCATACTTATATCACGTCTGGCGAGAAACTAGTAGCCCTCCATGTCGTCTCCGATTTCCAACAGCGACTTGGGTATGCGCTCTCTCCTTTCCTCCTTCCTCGCGCTGAACATTCTAGGTGCTCTAGAAATCGGGGCTCTCCTATCCTACTGGCTATTTGGCGCAGCGACAACCCAGGCATACACGTACTACGGACGATTTCCAGATGATTCTCGCAAACTGAAAATTCTAGTGCGTCTGTATACCCATCAGGCCAACGATAATGCCGACGTGAACTCAGGTTGCTCTCGTTTGGTTGGTATTTTGTTTGCCATTACATTTCAGTGAACCGAATTCTCCAGGTTCCTTGAACTCGGACATGCAATCTGTACCGGAACGACGGTGTATCGGTATCTTATCTCCGATTACACTCACCCAGAGCTCCTCGTTTATGTGTCGGACGCAATCCTGGTGTCAATAGCAATTACTACTGGGATTGCGCTCTGTGGTATGTCGACCGAGCTCCTTCCAGATCCCCCCGCTTACGCCACACAGTCCAGGGTTTCTTCTCTTTTCGGATATACCATCTTGCGCGAACCCCTTATATTCCTCTTTTCACCTTTTTCCTATCTCTGGCACGGGCTGCAGTCTCTATCTATATAGCCATCCATCTGATGTTGCAAAATGCAACGTTCGCGGATGTTGAACAAGTGGCGCCAATGTTATATGCCACTTGGAGTGCGTCGACCGCAAACGATTTGATAACTGCAGCAACATTGGCATATTTCCTTCAGCGCCAACGCGTCAATGTGTATACACGGTCAGCATCTCTATTTACTGGATTTCTTATTTAAATTACCTCCTCGTGCAGAACTGTTGTGCTTGTCGACAAAATTATCAAATGGGCGCTGGGTTCGTCAAAAACACTTTCCGGAGGCCACTGGAATCTAAATCTTTAATTTCAGAAACTGGTGTCATCATGGAGTATACAGATAATCACAGCTCCCATTCCTTAATTTGACGTATAACTCTTCAGCGCTGCGACCACTTTAACCTTGATCTTGGTGCACTCGTTCCAATTACCCGGGCCTCCAAAGACTTACCTCTTCCTCCCGATATAGTTCGCAACTATGCCGCACAATTGTACGAACCTACTTTGATTCAGTTTCTCGCCTAACCGTCCTCAGATATCTGGATTGCCATGTATATAGTTCAAGCAAGACGTGAGTTCATCTTATGTAGGTTGACTTTCGATCTTGACGACTTGAATTTCGATTTCGAAGTGTACTCCAATTCTTTTTTCGCCAGGTGGATGAATAAATAATGCACTTCTCGCAACGGCTGATTTTTTCGTAGCCTCCATTCCCGGACCACTCTCCGTGCCCTGGATCAAGTTACGCTTCCGTTGTCTGCAGTACGTACTGGTCCCGGTAATTATTATGTACTGACTCGTGGCTAGCTGCAGCTTGGCCCGCCGGAGGATTTGGAGATGCCGAAGACTTTACATCTCACGGATTGATAGTGTTCCCAGAAGTCGATGGAGCGTTCGTTTCACGTTAAACTGAACAAAACCCATCGACCATATCTTCTATCTGCGATGTTCGGTTTGATTCTTTTATCATCGGGATGTTTAGGGTTCGATCGTCTGTCTGTCGTGACGACATTATTTACACCTCGCGTGTTGCCTGGAAATTGAGCTAATCATCAACTTCCTTTGCCAGCTTGGGCGTAAATAATCCCGCCACTATCACGACGACTTCAACTCTGATGTGTCTATAAACTTCAAGCTTTGCGGTCCAAGCTCCGCCCGTGCTGCACTGCCTAAAGTCCGTGCTGCATCAGCCTTGAAGAGAATTCTATGATCGATCCCTTTCCTCCCAGACTCTGGCTGTGTGCCAGATCACTGGCGCCGACTTCCCCTGACACAACTTAACGTGCGAAAAAACAAAGGGGCACTCCCGACTACTGCTCAAAGTCACGGCCTGTTGTTTTC